AGTCCTATGAATACAAACTAGGACGTCTCTAGAAAAGGGACAGACAAATTAGAAAAACACTGTCCTCCAGGCACACAGGCTGGGGCTCAGCCCCTCCCCCTCAGCTGGTGCCTTTCTGTAGTGGTGCTCAGGGGAACAAATTCGTTCAGCAGCCATGGGTCCTGGGTCTCCTAAACTCATTCTCTTTTTTACTATATTGTGTTGCCACTCCAGTAAGCAGGATAATTATGTCATAATTTGTGAGATGTTCTTGGGAGTTCTTTACATTAGGGGTTTTCTGGACTAGTCCAGATCATTTAGAATCTCCTTGAGTAAACCCTATGAGGGCTGAGGGCCAGGTGGGCCTGCTTTGACATGAGCCCCATGGTTTGGTGAGAGCCACATGGAGAGCTGAGTAGGTGTTTCATTCACTCCAGTCTTCTGCGTATAGTCAGCATGTTTCCCAGAAGAGGCTCAGTCTCCCTCCATTGCCAGTGTTTCAAGTTGCCACAAAGCCTCTTCCACAAAGAATACAGTTAATATCTAGTTCCATTCATTTGCAGTTTTTCCCTCTGAAGGGAGTTGCTCAGGCCTGCCATCACAACTATCCAAGACCCTAACAGTCTCCTTCTGACACCATTTAAAACATGCTCCAGGTGCTCCAGTGGTTCAAACGATTGATAGTTCACATCATCAGAATAACTGTGTACCTTCCAAGCTGACTCTGAGGAAAGCAGGAGGTGACAGTTACTGAGCCCCTGGCATTTGCCCCTTACTCTAATTTAGTCATCACAACAACACTGTGAAGAAGGTATTATCATTCCCACTGTAAAATTGAGGAAGCTGAGGGACAGGAAGCTTGAGTAACTTGCCCAAAGTCATATAATTATGTGACAGAGCTAAAATTCAGACTCTGAAATCTGTTTTTTAAGCATATGTTACATTGCCTTAAAAGCATTGCCTTAAAAATTCTGGCATGCTTATTAAAATGATTCCTATTATATTCATACTTCATAATTATAACTGCATGGACAATGTCTCAGAGATGAGAAAAAGCCATTTAAGGAAAAATCACTGTTTTGGAAATACAGTGGATTTGTTCTCATGTAAAATCATTGGAGAATTTTATTAAAATTGTCATTTTTCAGATATTGGAAATGCTAATATCAAATATTTATTGTTCAACTTGTAGCAGTTTCTCCTAGACAGGCATTCATACAAAACAGAAAACAGGACTAGTTCTAAGCCAGCCTGCCTACCTTTGGGAGGGCCAGTATTAATAGCCTGTTCCCTTGGGTATCCAGTGACATAGGATAAGTGCCATCAGTAAAGGCTGAAGAGGGAAGTTACCTTTTCTAGGGATGAGGAGTGAAAGTCAACCCTGTTTTCCCAGAAGCAGAGAGCTCCTGAGACAGTGGACTTCACTCCTTGAGCAGCCCCTCATTCCAGAACATCTCCAGGCCTGGAAGGGCCAATGAAGCTCTAGACCAGAGCAGCCCAGAAGCCCTTCATCAACCTGCAGTCCAGAGTTCAGGGAATGTCTTAGGCTGAGCCACTCTCCACCAGGAGGGCTAGAAAGACTCATGGCTCCTTCACCCACCAGCAGCCCACAGCACAGAGGGAAAGTGCCACTCCCTGTTTTGACACAACTCAGAACACCCTTTTGCAGCTATAGTCACTCTCACAGCCTCCCTTGTCATCACTATAAATTTACATCAAATGCATACATTATTTATAAAGGACAACACGAAGTCCAATGGTGTCATCTGCCCTAAGCTCAACAATGCTCCAGGGCTGGTCCTGGGCCAGGTGCCTCCCCAGGCCAACCCTGCAAGACATTACATGATTAGGGACAAAATTAGATATGTGCAAGGAACGGGCACTAGCAGAAAAGGGCAGGTGTCAGAACCCCAGGTGGGAAGAGCGAGGTGATGATGGAAGGATGGTGCCCACCCCAGGGGTTACTCCACTTTCTATCCCTAAGGAGTTCCTCACCACTCAGAACGGAGAATTCTGTAACTACAGCTCCCCACCCCCTGGCCGGGAACCACCAATGGCCTCTCAAAAAATGTTTCTGGCAGGTGGTGAGTGAAGTCAGAAAGGGAAGCAACCCCAGGCAGAACAGGAGACACAGGAGCTCTGAACCCCTGATCTCTGGTACAAAATCCCAGCCAAGGACCTGGTTTGCTCCCTGTGGTCCTGGCTTGCAGGCTGGCAAGCAGCTGAGTCTCTGGAGTTCCACCCACTGACAGGAACCTGACTCTATGGGAGATCACCTGTGATTACAGGTGCACGGGGTGACAGTTTGTGGCAGAGCCCCTGTCCTCAGGGCCTCTTCAAATGGGGGAGGTTGCGTTGAGCAGGAATGATAGAGTCAGAGACCTCCATGGAGCTCTGAGCCAACTCTTACATCTCTAGATGAGCCACCTAAATGGATCTGAAAGAACCATGTTTATCTCAGTCATATTTACTTATTCTTTATTTTACTGGTTATTAAAAATGTCAGACTCACTTTATAAAAATGTGAAATACAGGAATATATTGTAGAAGGAAGGCATCAAAAAACCCAGCAGTCCCAGTATTCATTGCTCTTAACTTTTGGTGTTTGTGCTTCCTGGTTGTACACCCCATGAACGTGTAGAAGTTTATCTGTGCATATATGCATTCTATACAGGATATGTAAGTATATACTTGCTATGCTTTTTCATCTTATTTCCTTAAGATAATTTCTCAGAAGTGAAATGAACAGGTAAAGGGGGATGGACACTTTTAAGACCCCTGCCGATTTGCAGCCTCATCTTAAAGCCCTGCAGGGAGCTACTACACACTCTCCTCTAGCAACCTGTGAAAGCACTTGTACAAGTGTCATGTTCAATGAATGTTTTTATCAGTAAGAATGGGGTGATGGTCCTGACCGCTGCCAGGAAGTTCTCCCTGATATCTGTACTAAACCCTTCTGCTGAATTAACTTCAAACCAGTTCCTTTCTGTCTTGTTCTCAGTGGAATTAAAAACAGCTGCTTCCTATTGCATCTCTGACTGGCCTCTAGGAAGAAAACCTGTGGTCAGATCTCTCCCTGCCCTCTCGGTGAGGTGTCCTCCAATGCTGGCCAAAAGGAACACGGGTCGTCTGCATTTGTTCAAGGCCCCACAAAGCTTTTCTCCTGGATGCCTTCTCCAGCCTCCCCATCCCAGGCAGAAGGCCTGTTCCTCCCAGCAGTTGTCTCTGATAAAAGCCCAGCCAGCCTAGAGACGGGTATAGAGATTACCTCACTTGCCCACAAGCAACATGCTCCTATTAATACATGTGGGACTCAACGTGGTACTGCACTGGAGTGCTGATTCATGGCTTAATGATTAAACTGGATCTGGTTTTTACTGTAAGTAAGTACAAAGAAAGTTTATATTGTCTACTTCTGAATCTCTTTGGGCTCTTCACCATAAGAAAACTTATCTTCTATAAATGGATCCCAGATTTATCATGGATATTTTCAGGAATATAAGTGGGGAGAAGAAAGGAGATTGATTTTAATGATGTGTAAATCTAAAATGAGATAATTATGGCTAATGTCTTGAAGCCATTATCCAGGAAATGGCCTTTGGCTTTTAATAGAATTTGCCTTTCTAACGATAAAATAATAAGAATAGCTACTATTTATTGGGCTACATGCCAGGCACTGTGCCAAGCATTTTGCTTATGCTTATTTAATTCCTCACAGTAACTCTATAAAGTAGGTATTGTGATTACCCCACTTTTACAGAGAAGAAAACTGAGGGACTGGCTGTACTTGCAGTAATATGAACGAATCTTAAAAACACAGTGAGAAACATGAGGGTGATTAAAAAAGTTCACGGAAAGATTCATATTATCTTTCAATTCTATTTTTCCATGAACTTTATGAAATACCCTCATACAACACAGTACTATTTGTAAAATTAAAAGACGCCCATATAAGACATTATACATTTTACGAGAACACAGACAAACAGAACATCAAACATGTTAGAGTGATTATCTATGGGGAGAACAGGACTGGGAAATGGGGACAAAAGGAAACATAACAAAAGAGGCCTTGCACACAGCAGTGGAGCAACGTGCCATGCACTGAGCAGTGTGACACCGCAACTCTCTACACAGAGGTCCAAGTGAAAACACAAGTGACCCTGCAGTTTAAAGCAGAGAGACAGTGACAGACTGCTCCAGGTTACAGAACCAGAGACCCGAACTTGACCCCAGGTATCTTGCACCTGCCCCTATGCAGCATGGTTGTAAATCCCGTTCTCGAAAAGAGACCTGCCACAGAGCTAAACCTCTAGGTGTTCGTGTTTTGCCCTTAGTAATTATACAGTTTATATTTGATCTTGAGGAAAAAGCAGATTTGCTGCATTTCTGATGTGCGAAGCCCCAGTATGAGCTAAACAGCCAGCCACTCATCCATTCACTCACCAAGTTTGTATTGAGTGTTTATTATGTGCCAGGTGCTGGGCCAGGCAGAGGGCCAGTGGAGAGGAAGGAGCTAGAACTCTGGCCTCCGTGAGCTACCAGCGACTGAACCATTCTCTAACCACAGCCAGGCAGACCTTTCTCCTCCTCCTCCTGGCCCCATTGCAGAGTGCAAATGTGCAGCTCAAACCTGCACATGACTTTCTAAAGTACTAACTAGCATTTCTTAAGACCCTTTGAATCTCCACCAAGAAAGTTTGTTATCATAGCAACAACACTAATTTCCACTACTGGAGTTGATTTTTCTTGTAGCTCATCTTTCAAAAGGAGTTCACCAAGGAAGAACAACATGAGCAAGAACAGCCCTAGTAATTGTGGTAAAATCTGCCTCATTGACTCATGTGGTAAAACCTTTCTGTGCTAGGAGGTGAATATTTCAGAGACATATCAGGAAGGAGGCCATTCTCTCAGGAAAGAATGGAGCATTGGAATGGGGATTTCTAGCATGGCACTGAGGAAGCCACAACCCCCAGGAGTTGCAGGCCTGGGCCAGACTGCCTGGGAGTCACCTGACTCACCTCGATAGTTTTGCAGGTGTCTTCCAGCTGGCTGATCACTCCCTGGACTCTGTCGTTGCTTCCCACAAGGACGGCAATGCCATCACTGAGCTCAGACTAACAGAGAGAAAAGAGGGACTCGTATTCTTAGGAGGTCTCAGTCAACACATTGTGGATTAGTTGTAGTATTGTCCTCAGGGGTTTCATGCAATCCTTAAGGAGTAACAGAGAGGCTTCCGAAGCCTGTGATCCTCCTGATATTGCAAGCAAACTTTTGTATATGAATATGTATTTGTGTGAGAAGAGGTTTCAGAGTTTTCACCACATTCTTAATGGATAATGTGACTCTCTTAAAAATATTAAGAACACTGAATTATAAGCCATTGAGAATATCATGTTCAAGCTGTAGAATTCTAGGTATTGTTAATAAATGGGACAGAGTCCAATATGTGACTTCAGGGACCCAAAATGAATTATTTGGCTAGTGTAGCTCAGGGTCAGTTTTACTTGGGAAATACATGTAGTAAATATACATGTATTTATCATATATTTATTATGGGCCTATTGTGCTAAGAATATAGTGTATACACACACAAACACTCACACTCTAGATGAAGTCCTTACAAACTTAAACCTGTAACATACAACAGATTCTAGGGGAGAAATTTCAACTTTGAAATTCTTTTGTTCTTCTGATTCTATTGTTTGTATTTACCCCCTTCCCAATGCTGACTTATGAAGCCACAGGCAGCTCTGAATGAAGACTGAGGAGGCCTATGTGCTTGGTACAACTCTGCACTTAACTCTTTGATGGGCAAAACATGTAATCAATCTGGACCCTAATTTTCTCACATTTAAAGGGATGAGGGATGGGCCAGAACAGTGGCTGTGAAACATTTTAAAGCTGAAGCATTTTCTTCAAATGGAAGCTAATATGGAATCCTGTAGGCAAAAGTGAAGCTCCTTTGGCCAAACAGGAGTGGGGGTGGAGTCCCACCAGTCTGTCCTTCTGTCCTTCTCCAGGCCATGCATGCATCAGTCTCCAGGGCTCTGAGGGAAGTAGTGTGAAGCAGACACCATCCAGTTCTAACATGGTATGACTTGAGGGGTATGGGGGAGAAGAGAAGGGGGAAGAAATCATAAGTGGATTGAAAAATAAATGTATGTCCTAGACATCTTGCGAAATCCTGCTGCTTTAGCAGTTAGTGGTTACTCTCTGTAGCTGGTGTTGCTCAAGAATTTGGCTTCTAAATTTGATTCCAACTCTGATTTCCACAGTAAACCCTGACCAAATGTGGCATTGATGATTCTAACAGAAAGAAGCTGAGCTGCGGAGCCCCTCAGTGCCTGGGGTGGCTGCACCTATTGGAGCACCCGCCCCACATTTGTCTCCGCTAATTTCTGACCTGCTGCTGCATGAAACCACGTTGGCAGGTTGGGGACGAGCTGATGCAGTGGCTGTACTTGGTCAGAATGAGGGGGCGTGGCTGAGGCCCTGGGATGAGGGGCACGCCCCCTACTCAGAGCAGGCTTCTTAGCTACTGGCCTAGGTGACATGCGGACTAGCACCATGTTTTAAAGTTGTTCTGTCCTCCTTGAGGAGGGCAAAAGGAACGTTTCAGTGGTGAATGGAAGAAAAGTATTCTGCGCCTGGAATAGACAGCTGTCCTTTTCTTATCTACAGACTAGACTCCAAAGACTCGTGAGCAGTTAGAGTGTGGGCCGGGTCCCTGCACACTGCTCATCTTCAGCAACCTCCAGAGGGCACAGAAACAGTGCCCCCATCCTGCCGCACCCCTTCCTGAAACTCCGCATCCCTGCCCCCTCCGGCCTCCCCGCCGTCCCGGGAATGCAGCGACTGCGCACGTCCCTGCCCCTGCCCGCGGGACGGCCGCGCGCCCTCGGCCCCGCCGTGGCCCTGCGTGGCCGGACTCCCTCCTTCCGCGGTCCTGGGAAGGAGCTCGGCCAAGGGGCCCGGCACGGCTCCGTTACCTTCTGCCTCTGGAACACGTGGGTGAGGGGAGCCACCTGGCAGTCCTTGTGCGCGCCGAACACCTTGCACAGGGAGCAGGTGGGCACTTCGCAGTTCAGACAGTAGATGTTGATGCGTTCCTCCTCGTGCTCCTCGCACACCGGCTGGTCGGGCTTCTTTTCTGGCCTGGGAGGGGGTGGGGGGCAGATAAATGTCCATCTGCTCCCGCGGGGAGCAGGGCAGAGACGGTGATCCTCTTTGCAAACACCAGCTCGTCCCTGGACCCCAGCAATCCTATTCCAGGAGACTCCCAGGGTCCCTGTCATGTACTCAGAGCCACCAGATTCAACTTCCCTGCAGAGTGAGCAGCGGGGGCGTTGACAAATCTCTAACAACCTGCTTGGGGTGAGGGTGGGGGCATGGAGACCCTGATTTATAGCATTTACCAATTTCCGTGGTGTGAGTATTTCCGCCATGGCCAATTTCAAGGTATTTAAGGTTTAAGAACTGGCTCGTGGAATTCCTGAAAGTTGAACACAGGGCTGTGGCAAGCTGTTAGGAGCGTGCTCCGGCGCTGTGTGCACACGCTCACACGTCTCTCAAGACACGCTTCACGGGTAAAGAAGGGGAAATTGCTGATGAACTAAATCTCAAGTTTGCACCAGCTTTGCAGAGGAGCTCGATCTCACTCCTCCTGCCTCTGGCCCCAGCAAACACTTTCACCTAAAGGAGTGAGGATAGGGTGGCTCTGGGGAGCTGGAATCTCTGATTATTAATCTGGGTGTTGGTTGGAAGTAGCTGTACATAAGAGGGAGGTGTGGACGTAGCCTCCTTACACAAACTCCAGGAATTTTGATGCATCCTATCTAAACCTGAGGCTGTCAATGGTTTTCAGAATTATTTGAAAAATTCAAATCCAAATCCAAAAGCTTTCCTCATATTTCCAAACATACAGTTATTTAGAAGCATCTTGGATTTGGGACTACCTGTACATTTTTAAAGTTGTTATTGAGTTCCAGTTTTTAAAAAAAAAGTACAGGTTAATGGGCCACGAAATCAATTTAGGGAGTCATGACCAGCATTAGTAAAATCAGAATAAAATAGAATAATAAATATTGTGAGTTACATGTAGTAAGGATAAGTACTGGCATGTGGAACTTTTGTTTCAGGTGTACATATATATTTATATATCTGAAACAAAAGTATATATTATATATATATATCCATTCATATGCTTATATATAAAGGTCACTAGATCACAATGTAAAATGTACTTCCTACTCTGAGTCATGAATAAAAACGTTTGAACACTATTGAAGTTGATGTGTGGTACTAGGTACCTGCAGCGCCAGAACTCAGAAGAAGGCAGAGAACATGCTGATGTCCCTCTGTAAGTTGGTAGGTAGAAGTCAAGTACTTGAGATTGGACTAAATATTGGAAGAAGCCCTGGGTCTGGTAAAGAAATTGCATGGACTTCCAGCTTCAGGATTTTGGAATCTGATTCTTGCAAAAGGAATTTCTGCCTGGTCTTGTGGCAATATGGCTCTTCATGGTATCTATGACCTCCTGACTTGACTATATGCTTGGAACTCAAATAAGGAAGGTAAACTCCACAGCTGAAAAAATTATCCCCTTCCCAGGTCTGTCTGTTTCCTCCACTAGAATGTGACCTGCATAGATCTGTCCGCTTTTTGGCTGGATCCCCAGTGCCCAGAACAGAGCCTCGGGCAGAAGAGGGGCTCAGTAAATATTTGTTGAACAAATGAATGGGAAAATGAAAGAGAATTTGCCCAATTAATGGACAACATTGCCTGTGCTCTAACTTAATATCATCCAGCTGGACAAGGCATGGGAAATGTGGTCACTTGACACTCATGAATGGTAGAGACCAGGCAACATCCCAAATACTCCATTAATAAGAGACAAAGCCCTCTGGGGGCTATCTAGAGACTAGGACTGGTGAATTGGTTTCTGCCTGGTCTAAGGCTTCTCCACTTCTAAAATCTTCCTTCTCATGTATCTCCACTTCATAATAAATATGGGTTAAGCACAAGACTGGAGCACGTGTACTAGAAAATGGCATGGTAACGCTACTCTTGCTTACCTTCCCCAGACATTTCCTGAGGGCAACAGCTATGACCAGAGACAGTGCTGTGGAGCACAGGTGTATGCAGCATATGCAAATATTGCAAATGTCAAAACAGCCATAAACCTCTAAGTTTAGTTTTGTTTGTAATTCATTTATTTTTTTCATGATGCAACATACACTGAGAACTACTTCCCATATTTCTTATTGAGTTTTTCTTGTTTAGGTTGCAACACAGGCCCAGAGGCACAACCCTCTTCTAAACAAGTGTATAGTGAAAACCTCTGGACAAGTTAAAGCATGTAATAGACTTGAGACAAATATGGCATGTAGAATAAAGATGGAAATACATTTCTATGAGGTGAGAGTGGCCGAGCTCATAGTTGTGGTTCAGGGCTCAGTGTCAGGCGTTGGCAGTGGCCACTAACCATTCAGTGCAGGCTAGGCTGAAGCCTGCTCTTTTCGGTCACTAAGGTTGCTGGGACCATCCTAGGTCTTCTGAGAGATGGCCATCTGGTCTTGGTAAGGCACTTCGGGCAGTACCTTTGTAGTCAAACTGATGTAAAAGCTTAATTCCAGCTCAGCTTCTCCATGTGGGGGCCGTGTGGCCTTAGGCAAGTTACTTAACCTCTTTTAGTCTCAGTTTTTACTCATATCTAAAATTTAGACTAGGGTCTTCTAGTTAAATATGGCAGAATGAACACAGGCATTCATCTATTTGTTTCCTACTGCAATTCCACTGATATGAGTAAGGAATAAAAGAATAAAAAGGTATAAATCAGTAAGGACAAAAAGGGAGCAAGATGACAGCAGATGAGAGACATCAACCAAATGTTGGAAATTAGGAACATCTGGCTGAAAGGAAGTGACCTACTTGAGTTGCATCTTAGTTCTGCTAAGTGTCTGCGGGAGAGAAGCCTGCGAGAAGCGAGCTGATGAGTTGTGGAATCCTGGAAAGGCTCTGGAACTGCAGGAGCCAGGTAACCTGAAGGTGAGTGTGGGGGAGTCTAAAAATACGAGGACTTGGTGCACATCTCAGGAGATTACTTGAGGATGTGCTCCATAAAAACAAGACAGTAAGCTAACAAAGAGGGAGACATGGGATCCAAGAAGCAAGAGGTTCAACCCAGGGGAGAGTAAAGGGAATTCCCGAGTATAGGGTAAAGCCCAGCCTGCGGAGGGCTCAGTCTTAATCACCTACAGTAAAAAGTCAGTAAATAATGTCTAAAATTGAAAAATCAAGAAATAGGAGCATACCAGTGGTACACTCATGGCAATAGCAGAAAAACAGGTGAAAGAATTAAAAGTGGTTGACTCTGGGGAGTGAGAGTTGGGGGTGAAGAGAGAGTTGGGCAGGAACTGTATCTCTCATTAGAGGTCCTATACTTTTAAATTATATATGTGAATTACTTTGATTAAAAACATTAAAAACCTTTAATAGGGTGATATTAAATAATAATTACCACCTCACGAGATTGTTGAGAGAATTAAAGAATTGCACATGATTTGTGTATAAAGCACACTGAACAGTGCCTGACACATAGCACATAGTATTTTTACCTATTACATTTTATAGTTATGTTCATTATTAATATTAGCCAAATTATGCATTCTCTTGCCAACTCCCACCCCTCAAACTGTGGCTACTTTAGCACCATGCAGAATTCTAGATAAGAAGGCCAGGTTTTGTTGAGACCTACAGTGTCTGGCCTTTCTGCAAAAGGCCGTTGACCAGTACCTCACAGTCCATTATTGACACCCCTCACCCCCTTTCCATCAATACCCCCATGATATGAGCTGGGCTCATCTCACTCTGTATATCCAAGGTTATTCAAGGGTTATCCATTGTACCCTGAAGCTCAAGGTTCTTGTCTGATGTGGCTGCCAGCCTCCAGAGAACTACTGTGTTTATGCCCAGACATGTGGCTGAGCCCTCTGGGCAACTTGTGGTTTTGCTACTGAGTAAAAATGTCCCAAAGTCAAGTCTCAAGTTCAAGAAACAACAGCGTAAGAAGAAACTGATAATTACAAAAACACCCCTAGTCCACTCAGCTAGGAGCTTTACTGTTGGAAATTTTGTTCACTTTTATGCAATTTGTTTCCCAGCCCCTATTTTTGGCAGCTGCACCAAGCAGAGTTCATAGTGAAGGTAAGGACGGATCTTGTAATTTGACTGACACTACAAGTTTTAACATCTACTCTTCTCTGGATTTCATAACAAATATTGTTCTTTTCTCACATTTCAAGTTCCCACTGTGACAAATAGCAAAACAGAAAATTATTGCAATAAATAGAACATGTAAGAATATTTGTGATGTTGCTTAATCAGCTGGCACTTATGGAGCAATTATTCTGTGCAAGGCACTCTACCAGGCACCGAAACAGTTGTTATGTAAACTCCCTTAATAATTGGTTGATTGTAAATTGGCTGGTTAATTTTTTTTAAGAGACAGTGTGTGTATTTGCATTTTAAAGTAATGAAATACAATGAGATCAGACCTGTGAAGTAATAGCAACAACAATAGTACTTTCCTTTTTGTCAAGGGACTTTGGAAGCAAGGGAAAGAGCCTGCTGCAATCTCTGCAATATGTCATGAGCAAGTCTTCTTTTTCCCCAGTCTCATCTATATTCTGGTACTATTTAATTTAGTTTTGAATCTTAAGCAGAAAGTAATAGCCATAATAATTACAATAATTATATGTTAGATTTATAGAACAGCTTTCCTTCTAAGAGTGCAAGGCTCTTAGATCCCTGCAGATGTTCCATAAATACATGTCCCTTAATAAGAATCACAATGAGGCCATTTGTAGATGGTCTCAATATTGCTATCATGCTTTGTAAACTGCACTGACCGGTGCACAGTTGAAAAAGGGCTCTCCATACCATGGCTTCTAGGAATAAACTCCCGCAGTGATGTTTCCAGGAAAGGAACTCTATAGCCAATGTGGTTCAATGAATAAGAAGCCTTTTTATTTATTTTTTTAATGAACGGATGTATATACTGCAGATCCATCAACAAGTGAATGCTAAGAATGTGCCGTGAATACAATTTCGAGAATAGGGAAATATAACTGGAACTCTATCTATTTTTCTTTCCTCCCATGTCTCTAAATCTAGTCTCTAAAGGCCAGGACTATGCCTTGCTTTCCAATTTCCCAAACTATGACAAACTATGTTAGAGGATTTTGGTTTTATTACCATCCTCCAGACAATTTTAAGGCAAGTCTGTCTGAGCTAGGAACTGGGCTGTTTTGGAAGATGCCATTTCTGTTCATTTTCTATTAGATTTTGTATTAGAATTTTTCTGCTATGTAGATAGAATCTGAAGCTACAAAGGACCTGTGACGTATGAAAATGTCTAAAATTTATGTAATACAAGGCTTTGGCGGTAGGGGAGGGGGGACCATGATGCCTCTTCCAGAATCACCATCTGGAGTGGATTAGTGCTAATGAGTGACTTCATTCTTAAATGATACAAGAGCATGGGCACCAGCTCCCTTCTCTCCTCTCATGAGCAGCTCTCAGTTCCACTGGGAATGACTGACTTGGAAAAACACTTTCCTATAAAACAATTAGTCTGTGATTGGTAAACAAGCATTCAGTGTAGCAACCCATCAGAACAAACAAAAACATGCCTAGGATGGATTTGACACATGGAAGGGTGTTACCTGGTGGACTCCTGCTTGTAGATGTCAATGATATTTTCCACCAGTAGGTTCCTCTGAAGTCCATAAACCCCATGTCTGTCCAAAACCACTTCGTGTCTACAGGATGGGCAGCGGAATCGGCCCCCCGATGCCATGGTGGTGCCTCCTCTTGTGGGCAAGTATGGGTTAGAGGCCTGTTCTTGCCATGCAAGAAAAAAATTGAACAATGCCACTTTTCTAAGACTGTTTTTCACTTCCTGTTACTACAAACATCACGAATGTCTACGTTAGTTAAGCATGCCGTGAGATAATCCCTCAGGGCCTGTTCAGTAAGGGATCCTGCAATACAGGGCCAGCCCTTCCACAGTGATCCCTGCTGTACCATTGTCAGCATGAGGTGCTTTTCCATAACCAAAAGATCCAGCCAGAAACTCCACCATTAATGTCTTGGGCAGTAATTCATTTACGATTTTGAAACAGATTCAATGGTTTGGGTTTTTTTAAAAAAAAACAAATGTGATTCTTAGTATTCAAATAAAACTAGATTTGGGAGTAAGGAGGAGCTTGATGACAAAACACAAAGCAAATCGTTCAAAAGTTCTGCTTTTCTTGAAAATAAAAGCAGCCTTATAGAGTTTTCTAAAGGAATTCACCTTAATGTTAAGCACTTGATTTGGAGAGGAGGGGATCTTTTTCACCCCGCTCCCCTCCCCCCCACCCAATTTCAAACAAACCTACCTGGAAAATATCACTGGCACATTTCCTACACAGGTTATGCTGGCAGGGGAGAATGACCACGGGTTTTGTGAACATCTCTAAGCAGATGGGACAGATGAGTTGCTTCTCCAAGTTATCCATGGTCTGCTGCTCTTTGGAAAAAGACTTGTAATTCAGAGATGCGCTCATCTCCTGGCCGTCCCCGAGTGTGCTGCCCAGGAAAGGGTGCTCCGACTGGCTTCTGCAAGTGTTTCCTGGAAATAACTCCAAAGATTGTGTGATCAAGTGTCCTTTACGTTGCTCTCGGTGGAGGACATTGTTTCAGGCCTTGGTCCTGGTCCGGAGTGGGTGCTGGAGCTGTTTTTAGCAGCCTGAGGTCACATGACAGCAGCCTGACTTGTCCATATAAGCCAGTGACAGGAGGATGGATTCTGACAGGTGACAGAGAGCAGGAGTCAACATTCTTGCCCTAGGGAGCAAAGAGAGTGGGCGGGAAGGAGGATTACAAACCCCGTTTAGAAGGGGGTTGTGTGGAGAAGGGGGGCGAAGCTGACAGTTGTCAACAACAAATGCAAATGTGCGTGCCTGGTCACTGAGCCATGCCCTCTGGGAGCACTCAGGGAGGACGTGGTGACAGGCTTTGCAGGAAGGTGCAGGGTGCAGCCAAGAGTCTAACCGTACAACAAGTGCCTTCTGTCTGGAGAGTTTAGGAAGCAAGTCACCCAAAGCAGCGTACTAACACCTTCTTAGGTGAAAACAAACAAAACATGCCCCCAAAATCGTTATCACAGCTTCACAAAGCAATCATCTAGAAAAACTTGCTTAATGCTAAATATTTCATCTTTGCCAGTGTCGTGGTCTGGAAAAAATTCTAATTAAAAGCTGATTTCAAATCCTTTCATCGCAAACGTGTCCACAGAAAGTAAAAAAAGTTGCCAAACACCAGATAATGATCCAATTATTTAAGAAAAAATAAAGTTGTATAATAAAACTCTACTAATCTCTTCTCTCCTCCACGTTGCTTTCCCATCTTCCTAACACTCTTTCATCTGTGCTCCTCCCCACTCCCCCACACACTGAAAAACAAAGAAAATTTGACAGTCTTTAAAAATTTAAATTTAGCTTGCAACAATGGTCAGTATGAAGGTAGTAAGTGGCATGGAGTGTAGCAGACTTATTATTTCACTTTGCCACACATCAGGGGACAGATACCAGTGCCGCTGACAACTGACGTGACAATGGAGTCCTTCCCTACCTGTGTTTTATCTGCTTCTGAAACACCTACACCCCTCTGCGTTTGCCCCTTCCTCTAAGGTGATTTTCTAAAAGATAGTTTCCCTGGTTATTTCTGCTATTCTTGGTCTGCTCTTGAGTCATAAACATTGATTCTAACATTTGCCAGGATTTTGTGAAATAACTATTCAACCAATATATATTGTATTTTAAAATTTTAAATCAGATCAAAAATGAAAATTCATGTCATTTTGATGTGACGAATTTGCATCTTACTGCATCCTTGATTTTAAAAACCTTGAACACTGAACACATTTTGTTAACATGTCACTGGTGTACCCTTAATTACCAGTAAAAAGTAGGTCAGTGTGACTGGTTACATGTGGTCATAGTGCTATAAGCTCTATTAACTCATAATAAGTTATATGTATTCATAAACATTTCTGGGATCTTTAGAGAATTCTCTTATTCCTTTCAATATTTGGTTAGCAACTACAGTGAAGAAGAGAACTGGTGTATTTTTTTTAGAGTTACTTCAGTTCACCTAGCCCAGGCAGTTAGTTGTGTTTAACATTACATGGTCTATAGAGGTTTGAGCACAATAGGGTAGGTGAAATATTTTCTAGGAAACATAAAGTTTCTACTGCAAAAGTAAAGACCTTGAAATCTAAGGAAAAGTACTTAAACTAATAATATACATTGTAGCAGAGCCTGTGCTTAGAGAAGGAATTTATTCCTTCAAAAGACATTTGTTGAGTATTTGCCATTCTTTCCATTGTGACCCACAATTGTACAATGTTCTGGGGATTGAAAGCTGAACAAGACACAGATCATTGTCCTAAAGGAGCTTAGTTTAATAGCAGAGATAAGACACGCATATAAAGAACCACAGGACAAAACACAATGTGATAAACAGCTAAAGAATTTCAGAGTGTGAGTAATCAGGAGGGCTTCGTGGGTGGAGATAGCATTTGAATCAGTCCATTGAGGAAATTCGAGGGATGGATATGCACTAGGTGGCGCACAGGTGGAGCTTTCTGAGAGAAGGCTCAGCAGAGATGTGGAGGCACAGGAGTGCAGGGACTCTCAGAGCTTATGGTGGCTTGATTTGGAGTGCATGGCACGCTGCATATGCACTGGCAGGCCATGGACACTGGACTATAGCTTTTAACATGTAATAAATTAGGCAATAGGAAGTTGTTAAAAGTTTACATGAGAGCTGTGAGTTGGTTAGATTAATCTTGCAGGGGCGATTGGGACAGATTAGAGTGAAGATGCACTGAAGACCAGAGTGGAAGCTGTTGCCGATAGTCTAGGTGAGAGGTCACAAAGCTCTGGTATGGGGCCATGACACTGGGGAAGGAAAGGAGGAAATGGACTCTGGGGCTCTTATGAAAGTAGAATCAAATGACTGAGATGCCGAGTCTGAGCAACCAGCAACGAAGTGGTGGAAGGCTCCAGGGTGAGTAAGGAGACAGCTTCTCTCCAGCTTCTGTGTCTACCTCATGTCATGGTCTTGAGAAAGTGACCTCACCTAGATGGACTGCAGTCCTTTTATCCAGAACTGAGTAGGACTCATAACCTAAATTAGCAGTATTTGTAAGGAAAAAAAAATACCTGAAACTATTAATTTTGACATTGAAAATCCCCAATTTGATTACTTGATGTACAATTGATGCCCACCTTCCTCTCTTTTTTCTCTCTGCTCCTTCTTGCCTTCTGCCTTTCACTTTTTCCTAGAACTGTCCCTGGAGGCTACAGAGGAAACCAGCAAGAATCCCATAGGAATAAGTGCAAGTTGATGAATAATGCACCTTCCTCTCCTCATCCTCTTCTCTCCATTCCTTGCTCCTCCCTACTCTGATAGACCCACCATCTCTGGGGTGGATGTGTGCATTGGGAGTGGGACATAGGGAGAGTGCTCTGCTCTAGGGAGGAACCAGAAAATTTTATTCCACTCCATACTTATTCAAGAGACACAGCAGATGCCAGGGAGGACGTTGCACCCACTTGTGCTGCTGCCATCCCCACAAGGTGACACTGCTGCCACCAAGGACACTGCAGATGCCAGGGAGGCAGTTGCAGCCTCCAACACTGCTGCCACCGACATGAGGTAATGCTGTTGCTGCAGACACTGTAGCTGTGCGGGCCACTGCTGTGGACACTGCAGCCAAACTGGCAGCTGCTGCAATCACTGCTGCTGTGGTTTCTGCCACCACCAGCATCACCAGACAGCCACCATCATTATGTGAGCAGCCTGCCACTGCTGGAGCCACCACTGCCATACCAGCAGCCCACCAAAGCCACCACCACAACTACTGTCATCATAAGGGCAGCCTGCTAACATAGCCCACACCAGCCACTGCCACGGTGCAGAGATTGCTGACCACTTGACCTAACTGACACAAGAGGAGTCACCAGCAGAGTCCGGGAAAGGATGGTAACAGAAGAAGCAATTGCTCTACCAGATGACTAGACACCAACGTAGAGATACTAAAACTATGAAAAAAACACAAGAAAATATGAATCCACCAAAGGAATACAATAACTGTCAAGTACCAGACTCCATAGAGCAGAAAACCCTTGAAATGACTGAAAAAGATATCTAAGTAAAATCTTAAAGAAAATACTCAAGAAGACACAGTTAAACAACATAATGAACTGAGCAAAACTATTCAGGATATGAAGGGGGAAATTTACAAAGAGATTAATACTTAAAAAAATATATATAGCAGAACTCGTAGGACTGAAGGAGTCATTCATTGAAATAATAAAAGAAACCCCACAACTGAGAGCTTAAGCAGGAGGCTCAAAGATCCCCAAATATATTCAATCCCAAAAGGTCCTCTCCAAGGCATATTATAGTCAAACTGGCAAAACTCAAAGACAAAGAGAGAATCCTAAAAACAGCAAAAGTGTCAAGTCACTTATAAGAAAGTCCCCATCAGATAAACAGCAAACTTCTCAACAGAAACTCTATAGGCCAGAAGAAAATGGGATGATATACTCAAAATACTAAAATAAAAAAACCCTGCTAGCCAAGAACACTATACCCAGCAAGGCTATCCTCCAGAAACAAGGGAAAAATAGTGTATTTTCTAGACAAACAAAAACTACGAGAGTTCACCACCACACAACCAGTCCTACAAGACATCCTCAAGGGAGACCAGCATCTGGAATCCAAAAAAACAATAATCACTTCCATGAATACACAAGAAGGAACAAAACCCACTGGAAGAACAAAAATGCAAGCAAGAAAGAAAAAGAAACTGTTACCACCTCCAAAAGCCAAAAAACACCAAAAACAAAAACATGAAGGAAAGAAAAAAAAGTGTTTAAAACATCCAAATAAAAATCAATAAAATGACAGAGTAAGACAATAACTTTCAGCAAGAACCCTAAATGTAAATTAATTAAATTCCCCACTGAAAAGATGTAGACTGACAGCTTATATTAAAAAGCTAGACCCAATTATATGCTGTTTACAAGAGATTCACCTTACCTGTAAGATGCATACAGACTAAGAGTGAAGGGATGGAGAAAAATATACCACACAAATGGAAATCAAAAATGATGAGGATTAGCTATGCTTATATCAGATAAAATAGACTTTAAACCAAAAACTATAAAAAGAGCCAAAGAAGGCCTCTATATAATGATAAAGAGATTGATTGAGCAAGAAGACATAACAATCATAAATATATATGCACCCAACACCAGAGCACCCAAATATAAAGCAAACACTATTAGACCTAAGGAAGGAGATAGGCTCAAACATGATAATGGGGACCTGAGCACCCCTTTCTCAACACTGGACAGATCATCTAGGCATTAAATCAATAGAGAAACACAGGATTTTTAAATTTTATTTATTTATTTCTTATTTCTTTTTTACTTTTTAAGTTATTTATTTATTTTACTTCTCAAAATACATTGTAGTTGATTTTCATGCCCCTTTACCTGTTCCTCTCCCCCCACATCATATCTGTTCACTTGACTTAAGTAGTTCAAGGAATTTTTGTGGTTATTCTGTCTCCCCCCGCCCCACTTTATTTGGAACACAGGATTTAAATAGCACTTTTGACCAATTGGACTTGGCAGATGTCTATAGAACATTTCATCCAACAATCCTAGAATTCACATCATTCTTATCAGCACATGGGACATTCTACAGGATAGATCACATATT